TCCAACAACAGAACACCACTCGGGTTCAGATCAGGGGGGCCGTTCCTCCCAACCACACCCCTCCAGGTCTCACTGTTATTGCCCACATGAGCATTGAAGTCCCCCAGCAGAACAAGGGAGTCCCCAGGAGGTGCACTTTCCAGTACCCCCTCCAAGGACTCCAGAAAGGGTGGATAATCAGAACTGCAGTTTGGTGCATAAGCATAAACAACAGTCAGAAACCGTCCCCCCACACGTAGGCGGAGGGAGGCCACCCTCTCATTCATGTGGGTGAACCCCAACACACAGGCACCAAGTTGGGGGGGCAATAAGTATGCCCACTCCTGCTCGGCGCCTCTCACCAGGGGCAACTCCAGAGTGGAAGAGTATCCAGCCCCTCTCAAGGAAACTGGTTCCAGAGCCAGAGCCATGCGTAGAGGTGAGTCCGACTATTTCTAGCCGGAACCTCAGCCTCACACACCAGCTCAGGCTCCTTCCCCACCAGTGAGGTGACATTCCATGTCCCAATAGCCAGCTTCTGTAGCCGAGGATCAGACCGCCAGGGTCCCCGCCCTCGGCCACCACCCATCCCACATTGCACCCGACTTCTTTGGCCCCTCCCACTGGTGGTGAGCCCATGGGAAGGGGGACCCACATCTCCTCTTCGGGCTGTGCCCGGCCGAGCTCCATGGGTAAAAGCCCGGCCACCAGGCGCTCGCCCGCGTGCCCCACCTCCAGGCCTGGCTCCAGAGTGGGGTCCCGGTGACCCACGTCCGGACAAGGGAACATTAGGTCCATTTATTTCTCTCATCATCGGGGTCTTTGGGCTGCACTTTGTCTGGTCCCTCACCTAGGACCTGTCTGCCATGGGTGACCCTACTAGGGGCGTAAAGCCCCTGACAGCATAGCTCCTAGGATCATTGGGACACTCAAACCCCTCCACCACGGTAAGGTGGCAGCCCAGGGAGGGGGTATTCAGTCTCCAAGTACAAAAATAATTTATATATATATTTAAATATATATATTTTTTGTATTCAGTCTCCAAGTACAAAAATAAAAAAATAAAAATGATCCTTTTGTTATTTAGACTGAAAAAGTCTGCACAAAATATAGATCAATAAATCCACCACAAAAACTAAAGTGCAAGTGAAGTTTCCCAAAATAACTCGGTAAAATGAATCTTAAGATCTGTTGATCATAAATGTAACAAAATTTATGTGTCTATAATCATTCATTCAACCTTTATTTCTACAGGTAAATCCCATTGAGCCTCGAGGACTCATTTACAAGAGAGACCTGATTTCAACAAAGAAAGATGACTGTAATGATGACTGAAATTAGCTGTAACTTCCAGAAGTTGTAACAAGGTGATCATCTGACCCTGAAGCTTGTGGTGTTTCATCTGTTCCTGCAGGAATCATTCATTTCTCTGATGCTCCGTCTCTGATCACATGACTCTGTCTCTGATCACATGACTCTGTCTCTGATCACATGACTCTGTCTCTGATCACATGACTCTGTCTTTGATCACATGACTCTGTCTCTGATCACATGACTCTGTCTCTGATCACATGAATCTGTCTCTGATCACATGACTCTGTCTCTGATCACATGA